TTGAAATTGCCATCACTACAAACCAGGGGCCTATACCATGAAGCCGGTTTAGGTGGCTAGCCCGATATGTTTCAGTTTAGTTTGCGCCAACCCTGGGTTTTAGGCACCATGAAAGTGGTTTGGCTTTTAGCAGTGTTCATCGCCATAGTAACTTACGCTGCACGGCTAACCTGGTCCGGGGCAGGTTATGTTCCAGGTAAGAGATCTCAAACCGAAATTGGACCAATCAGCTGTGAGCAAAGGATAAGTCACTCCACCTGTTTCTACTCCAAATTAAAGGTCACTACATAGCAAATGATTTTTAAAGACAAAATCGTCTGGCTTTTAGTAACACTTATTTAGAATAATAATTTTGTATGATTTAGATATTATTTATGTAATTATTAATCAATCACACGTACAATTTTAGTTTATCAATTATTTTTACGCACAGTTTAAAGGAATAAATATATAAAGGTAATATAAATACGCTTTAGAATCAATAGATTAAGCTATAAAATGACTACATGTGAGTTTAAAAGTTCAATTCTCTCTATACCTTTATCAACTGTATAAACTAACTTCACAACTTTTACTTGCACTGATATAGCAAGACTTTTAGTTGTCCTCTTTCATAGACAGCTATTTTGTTTTTACTGTCTAAATTTGTTTAAATTCCCAATATTTTTTTTAATCTCGTAATATTCTGCAGAAGAGAGAAGTGAATCGTGCTGCTTCTCTCGCGAGAAATGAATCGCGGTTTCACACGTTCTCAGCATGTGATTGGCTGTTCACTACGGATGCCATACTTAAATTCCTAAACTCAGGAGGATCAAAGCCTGAGTTGACAGAGAAAGTTGGTGATCAGCATCATGGTCCCAACAAAGCCTGGTTGGATTGGTTTGGTTTTGTCAACTCTAAACTAATCATGTAACCCGAAGTTTGTTCAACTACCATCATGGTACAGGTCCCTGATCAATGAAAGACAAATCCTATTCCTTTCTCCTATACAAATGTTTAATTAGCATGTCTATATTTTTTTTCACTGTATTTACTCAAGAATGTTTTGGAAAGATTTAGAAACCTATATTAATAAAAAACTCAGATAAAAAGTCTAAGTTAGAAATGTGGGTATTTGAGGTGCTTTTTTATACTTAGAATGACAATTTGGAATTATTATATTTTTATAAATGACTTATGTAAATCTTTTAAAACAAACTAAAAACAAAAAAAGTACCTGTGTCAAATGTGGACACCCAGAAACAATACATCTTCTAAAATGCATGTGAAAGAGAAAGACTTCAGCTATACCAAAAATTAGATCTAATGGAATTAAAAGACAATCAGGAGTAGGCCTGAAAAATGTTTGGATAATAAAGAGAGAAAAAGTGAGAAATAAAAAAGGAGAAAATAGATAAAATGCTTTACTTTTCCTGTTATATTTTTAAAATATATATAAAAAAATTAAAAATTATAACAGGAAGAAAATAAAAGCATGTGATCTGTTTTCTCATTTTCTCTCTCACACTTTTCCTCTCTTCATTATCCCCTCAGTAAGCTGTGTGTGCTCTTCACACTCCAGACCAGCGGGTGGCGGAACGGCACTCTTTAACTCCACAAACCGGCAGAAACAGAAGAAGAGGAGATGCGCTCTGAACAAGGGGGTAATCATAGACAGTATAAGAAATGGACAGAGCCATCTCATTGGAACTCAGTTGAGACAGTTGAAGCCCATTTTTAGCGATTTTTGAGCACTTCCGTTCCTGACGCGCAGACTCAAACCGACTCAAACTAAGCTTGATGACGTGAGCAACCTGTCTGACAGACGTGAATCTTCTAGTAGCTGTGCGTGAAAATTGCCAACGTTAATCTTGCAGAGACGGGGAACTTGAGCAAAGAGTTCTTTGGCGTGAGTGAGCAGGAGTAAGTATTCCGTTGCTTTTATGGACTCATTATCTATGGGCTTCTCCCTTGACGGGACGTCCCCCCGATTGCCTGCGAGCTTCTCCTGCTGTCTGTACGGTAATTTCTGTACAGCGCGACAGAGAGTCGAGTGGTTATGACGCAATCGTTAGCTTATTTTTACTAAATCTGTTTCTACGGGGCCATAATGTAACATAGAAGGTAATGGAGCCCTTTATACATTGTCGTGTTTCTTTAGAAATAAATAATGGACAAATGGAGTCTTTAAACGCCTCAGATGTAAAGTTATTCGCTGTCAAAGTGACGCCAAAATGAATGGGATTCAATGGAAATGCTAACGCAAGTGAAGTTCTGCTACAACATGGCGGCACCCGGCGGGCTTCAACATCCGGTCGATGAAACTGAAGCCGGAAACTGAAGCCACCAGCCGGAAACTGAAGTCTCCCCGGGGGCCGCCATTGGCTAACAAGCCTTCACCTGCTGTTAGCATCCCATTGACTCCCATTCATTTTTGCGTCACTTTGACAATGTATAAAAGGCTCCATTACCTTGTATCTTACGTTATGGCCCCGTAGAAGCCGTTTTTGTAAAAATAGGCTAACGATTGCGTCATAACACGCGGCTCTCTGTCGCACAGTAGAGAAATTACCGTATAGACAGAAGTAGAAGCTCGCGCACAATCGGGGGACGTGGAAGCATAAAGTCGAGGGAGAAGCCCATAGAGAGTTGTAAAGTTGCTCCTGCTGCTAGCTCACGGACAGCTCCTACTCAGGATCTCCAGCTCTGCAAGATTCGGAAGGGAATGATTGAAGCCACCAGCCGGAAACTGAAGTCTCCCCGGGGGCCGCCATTGGCTAACAAGCCTTCACCTGCTGTTAGCATCCCATTGACTCCCATTCATTTTTGCGTCACTTTGACAATGTATAAAAGGCTCCATTACCTTGTATCTTACGTTATGGCCCCGTAGAAGCCGTTTTTGTAAAAATAGGCTAACAATTGCGTCATAACACGCGGCTCTCTGTCGCACAGTAGAGAAATTACCGTATAGACAGAAGTAGAAGCTCGCGCACAATCGGGGGACGTGGAAGCATAAAGTCGAGGGAGAAGCCCATAGAGAGTTGTAAAGTTGCTCCTGCTGCTAGCTCACGGACAGCTCCTACTCAGGATCTCCAGCTCTGCAAGATTCGGAAGGGAATGATTCAGATTCCTCTCGGCACAGCTACTAGAAGACGTACAAGTTGCTCACGTCACATCTACATCGTCAAGCTCAGTTTGAGCCTGCGCAGTTCGCTTGGCAATCAGGAAGTGAGTGCTTCTAATTTACTTCACTTTTCTCCGTTGAAGTCTATGGGGTCGCTGTGTCCATTTCTTTTACTGTCTATGGCTCTGAACTATAGACATAATAAATACATAGACGCCCTATTGGCCGCTGGAGCGTACGTCAACGGCGCCACCATGTTGGGGATGGCAACTTTCCCATACCTCTCATACTGGGAATTGAGAAAAATGCCTGTTTTGTGCGCTGTTTGGGGCTGTACACATCGCCACACAATTGAAAACAGCTTTCGAGGAATTACCTTTCACAAGCAAGACTGAACGTTTGTTTTTGGTTGTATTTGGTCATGATTTAATTAGTAGGCTAATAGTAACGTTCAGAGGTTACATTTAAAAATACTACTGTTATTGTGTCACGAAATGTAGTTTTAATAGTTTTTCAGTCGACAATGTAGTTGTTTGTGGTTTGTTTATAAAGATAGCGCCTATTTAAAAATTTCATCTGACGTTTTCGGAGTTGTAAGATGCTATCACCGGGGCTCAGCGCTCGTCTACCCCGCCTGGAACAGCCATACCTCGGCCAGTGCTTCTGAAGTTTTGCCGCTGACTCGGATGTCTGTAGTCTAGTGGTTAAACATGAGATATAATTCGTCTTGTGTATATCTAACGGGCGATCTTTGGTCTCATTAATCTATAAATGGTTCCCTAGTAAATCGTTTTGGCTGAGGGCAAAGTGAAGTTTCATAACTTTATATTTAGGCTATTTTAACGTTGTATCCTGCTGTATGTTTGACTGAAGCTATTCTGTTATAATGGCTATTACTGATCAATAAAACTGAAATTTAACAAAAAGAGTTAAATATTAAAATGTCACTATTTGACTTATTTTTTATTGTATATATTCTGTAATTGATATTTCTTATTCTATTGCTATTATTATAGTATTATTAATAAACTATATGCTATTATCAATATTTTTATGATTGTATTATTGTACTTATGATATTATATAATTATACTATTCATTACTATTTTATTTGCTGTATACTATTTGTTTATTTTATTGACTAAACTATTTACTATTACTTCTCACTTTATGTTATATTTACTATTTGCATTGCACTATTGTACCGTAACATATGTATTATCATCAAGATTTATTGAAGTTTACGAGGGGCGGCAGTGGCTCAGTGGTTCATGTTGGTTGTCTACAAACCGGAAGGTTGGTGGTTCAATCCTTGGTTCCACCTGACCAAGTGTCGAGATGTCCATGAGCAAGACACCTAACCCCAGCTGCTCCCGACGAGCTGGATGGCGCCTTGCATGGCTGCCGTCACCCGTCGGTGTATGAATGAGTGAGTGAATGGGTGAATGTGAGGCAAATTGTAAAGCGCTTTGGTGGCCATTGGGTCTGTGAAAGCGCTATATAAATGCAGTCCATTTACCATAAAGCATCCATCAGTTATCTTTGTTATTGCTAAAATCTGGTCAATCACAAAAAATGCTTTTTCCACAATAAGAAAACTTAAATTATATCTCAGTGTGGGGGTCTTCACCATTCTTATCCAAGAATAAAAAGCCAAATACATGACAAGCCTGAGCTTTGACCATTCTTTATTAAAAAATATATATTTTACGAGTCTAACTATCGAGATTTTTGATTACAGTGCAGTCTTGCCCTCCGCAAAATGGCGGACCCGTTGACGTATCGCAGCAACGTTCCAAAGCGGCCAATAGGGCGTCTATGTATTTATTATGTCTATGCTCTGAACAACAGCTGATTCAAAACAAAAGATTTGCAAAGTATTTGAAATTTCACGATCACTATTTACAAGTGAAGAGATGCATTCAGACCAGCAGGAGGAAAAGAAACCTGTAAAAATGGAGTTTATTGAAGATTACAGTGAGAAACCTGTAAAGATGGAGTTTATTGAAGATGACTGTGAGAACAGGAGTGATCCTGATCAAGAACCCCTCAGAGTGAAGCTTGAAGATACTGAAGAACAGATAGGTTGGTGTTTATTTTTAAATCTTCATTAATAATGCTGTAAAACATTAAAGCTATGAAACCTTAGCAGTTCTTTAATGGTTTAAATCCTGACATAATTGACTCACCCTTAACATAAAAAATCTGGATGAATTTCTTCTTCTGCAGAACACTAAATATTTGTGTGTGTGTGTGAGAGAGAGAGAGAGAGAGAGAGAGAGAGAGAGAGAGAGAGAGAGAGAGAGAGAGAGAGAGAGAGAGAGAGAGAAATCCCTAAACAAAACAATGAGACGTTAAAATAATAATGCACAACTGCGTTGAACAACATGAGGTTGTATAAATAACATATTTTTTTGTGTGAAAAGCTTTGAACTATAATGAATGTCTTACTACAAATGCAATATGGTGCACAATACAACAAACTAACAAGGCAAACCAAACCATTTCTTTTAAAAGCATGATTTTTTCAGTCTTAGTTTGAACTCAAACTTTTACTTGTATAGTATTGATATGTGTTTAGGCCCGTTCACAACAAGAATGCTAACTAATATAACTATTGTAACGACTGAGACAATCAGACATAACTATTTGTTACATTTCACAAGTAAGCTTTAAAGCCTACTCTTAGTAATTAAAAACATCCCCACAAAAGAGACAAGAGAGCAGAAATGGCCTCAGTCACTAGGGAGACCATCAGATTACATGGTTTTATTCCTGTGAAAAATGTTGTTATGTGGTAAAAACAGAGGCCATAGGACAGAGAAACAGACTTTAAAACAGGCTTTCCTGCATTAATTTGTAGACGAACTGATCTATAAAGAACATGCATCCCAGGACATTGTGTGTGACATTGTTATGTCTTGTATAGTGTCTCTTGAGTTTGTATTTATTTCATGCATGTTTTATGAGAGAACTACTCGTTTATGCAACCCCACCTTAGGGGTGGGTGATATTAGCCTGGGAAAACCCAGACAACTTTAGATTTGCTCTGAAACTTAGTCTGGCAAAGAGCTCATTCAAGCCCATTTCCAATCCGTCGAAATCGCGGCACTAATCAGAAACGTTGGGGCGGGCTTTACACGATGAAGATAGCACAGCGACGGTGAAGCAGATTTTGTACATTTACAAAGATGGATGCCGCCGTGGAACTATGTGTGACGGTTATAGTTGAACACCGTCATTAGAACTCTATAACCGCCAAAACCATGTTATTAAAATATTTTTTTTTCACAAACATTTATCATAGAGAATTTTTAAATACTAATATCAGCTTACGAGGGAAACGGAGGCGGAGTTAGTGGTGCGATCGGAGGCTGCTACTGCTGGAGATGATTCGGGAGAGGTCTGTCCCCCTTTACTGATCAGAGCGCGCGCTGACACGGAATGACGGTACTGATCCACTTTTGCGACACGACTGAAGCGTGGTGTCGCACGCCTCTCCACATTTGTAAGTTGATGGGCGTTCCTCAAGTTTACCACTATGGGCGTGGTTTTAACCCAGCGCCAGTCTAGAACAAGATAGCAAAATTGTTGTGGCCCAGATCTGGCCCACACTTGACACTTTCATCTGGCCCACATACCGCGTGGAATGATGGCACTTGGGCGGTCCGCTCCTGTTTGCCAGATTTGGGCCACAATTAAGCCATAGCAATGCCGCATGTCAGCCGTAAACAAAACAAATGAAGCAGAACTGGCCCACATCTGGCCCAGACAACAAAATTGCTGTGGCCCAATTCCGGCCCACACTTGACACTTTCATCTGGCCCACATACCGCGTGGAATGATGGCACTTGGGCGGTCCGCTCCTGTTTGCCAGATTTGGGCCACAATTAAGCCATAGCAATGCCGCATGTCAGCCATAAACAAAACAAATGAAGCAGAACTGGCCCACATCTAGCCCACAGTTTAAAGTTCAAAGGGTATGTGGGCCAGATGAAAGTGTCAACTGTTGGCCGGATCTGGGCCACAGCAATTTTGGTGTCTGGGCCAGATGTGGGCCAGTTCTGCTTCATTTGTTTTGTTTACGGCTGACATGCGGCATTGCTATGGCTTAATTGTGGCCCAAATCTGGCAAACAGGAGCGGACCGCCCAAGTGCCATCATTCCACGCGGTATGTGGGCCAGATGAAAGTGTCAAGTGTGGGCCAGATCTGGGCCACAGCAATTTTGGTGTCTGGGCCAGATGTGGGCCAGTTCTGCTTCATTTGTTTTGTTTACGGCTGACATGCGGCATTGCTATGGCTTAATTGTGGCCCAAATCTGGCAAACAGGAGCGGACCGCCCAAGTGCCATCATTCCACGCGGTATGTGGGCCAGATGAAAGTGTCAAGTGTGGGCCAGATCTGGGCCACAGCAATTTTGGTGTCTGGGCCAGATGTGGGCCAGTTCTGCTTCATTTGTTTTGTTTACGGCTGACATGCGGCATTACTATGGCTTAATTGTGGCCCAAATCTGGCAAACAGGAGCGGACCGCCCAAGTGCCATCATTCCACGCGGTATGTGGGCCAGATGAAAGTGTCAAGTGTGGGCCAGATCTGGGCCACAGCAATTTTGGTGTCTGGGCCAGATGTGGGCCAGTTCTGCTTCATTTGTTTTGTTTACGGCTGACATGCGGCATTACTATGGCTTAATTGTGGCCCAAATCTGGCAAACAGGAGCGGACCGCCCAAGTGCCATCATTCCACGTGGTATGTGGGCCAGATGAAAGTGTCAAGTGTGGGCCAGATCTGGGCCACAGCAATTTTGGTGTCTGGGCCAGATGTGGGCCAGTTCTGCTTCATTTGTTTTGTTTATGGCTGACATGCGGCATTGCTATGGCTTAATTGTGGCCCAAATCTGGCAAACAGGAGCGGACCGCCCAAGTGCCATCATTCCACGCGGTATGTGGGCCAGATCTGGGCCACAGCAATTTTGGTGTCTGGGCCAGATGTGGGCCAGTTCTGCTTCATTTGTTTTGTTTACGGCTGACATGCGGCATTGCTATGGCTTAATTGTGGCCCAAATCTGGCAAACAGGAGCGGACCGCCCAAGTGCCATCATTCCACGCGGTATGTGGGCCAGATGAAAGTGTCAAGTGTGGGCCACAGCAATTTTGGTGTCTGGGCCAGATGTGGGCCAGTTCTGCTTCATTTGTTTTGTTTATGGCTGACATGCGGCATTGCTTTGGGCTAATTGTGGTCCAAATCTGGCAAACAGGAACGGACCGTTCAAGTGCCATCATTTCACGCGGTATGTGGGCCAGATGCAAATTATGGCACTTAAGGCAGTCCCCTCCTGTTTGCCAGATTTGGGCCACAATTAAGCCATAGCAATGCCACATGTAACCCAAACACAAACCAAATAAACCACACCTGGCCACAGTTGATTTTTATACAAACCCTGGTCTTTCCCAACATTCCTCATGCAGAATGGAATGGTGGCACTTTTGCAATTCACTCCTGTTTGCCAGATCTGGTCCACAAGCAGGCCATTTGTTCAGCCACATGTGTGTCAAGAATTACATAAATAAACCATAACTGTGTGTTTTTGTGTGTGCATGCTGTGCCTGACACTAAGAGAAATATACACTAAAGAGAAATTTAAAAATGACCCCTTTCTATGTTAAAAAAAGTTACAACAGATGATTTAAACACATTTCTGAAAACATTTGCATTATTTATTAATATTTTCAAAGAACAACCAAGTGCAAGTTTCAATTTTCAAAACTGGAAAGCAATCTAAAAAAAAATAGTAATAATAAACAAACACAAAATATGTGCATATAAAGCATCTTAAAACTAAACAAAAAACAAAATATGTTTCCAGTTGGTCATCCCAAAAAAAAGACAACGCAGAAGTAAACACACTTTTAAAACACTGACAAATGGAGCCATCCAAAATTAAAGAATTTGACCTCCTTGACTGGGCCCATCTGCGTCATCATGGCAATCTTGCAAGCCTTTATTGGATACACAAAAAAACAACTGTTGACTCAGTAACAGAATGCTGATTTTACAATAGTGTTTTAACAGCAATAGCACATTAATACTGAATGGGGAAAAAATGGACTGGACCTACCAGTGCATTAAACAGTTTGGTAACTCTAAAGGCCTATTTATACTTCTGCGTCGAACTCACGCCGTAGCTGCGTCGTAGGCTGTGTGTAGCGCGCGTACCCTTCAGCGTACCCTGACCGACGTGCACCTCTCCAAAAATGTAACAACGCGTCAACTCTACGTGGACGCAAGCGCTGTGATTTGTCTGCCAGGACCGCTCCCTAGGGTTTCACATGCTCCCTCTACAAGTGTAATAGCGCGTAAACGCGGACAACGACGCAAAAGTATAAATGAAAACCAACGCGTTGCCTACAGCGTAGAAGCTCCGGCGTAGGTCCGACGCAGAAGTATAATGAGGCCTAAAGGCCTTAATTGTTAACATTAATTAATGTATTAACTAGTATTAACTAACATGAACTGCATTATTTATTAAGCTTTTTTAATTTTTCAGTCATTCACTGTTTGTTCATGTTAGTTCACAACTTTTGATTTAAATAATGTGTAAGGGGTATACAGTCAAAGACCCAGAACCAGATATGAAGAATGAAGACCCGGAGTCAGAATTATAAAAAATTAAAGAAAAGTTTTACTGAAGATAGTTTGCATTTTCATCAGCAGAAGTCAGCTTCAAGACTCACACAGGAGTTCGTAGGCCGCCCCGCTTACAGTTACAAAGATCACAGCAGTTATACCATTTCCAAGGTCTAAGCTACGTCATTGCTTACAGGTTGAATGATTCTCATTGGCTAAGAAACATGAAAGCCTAAACAATTTAACACATGTGAGGAGATAGGGGTGCCTATCGCCATTAGTAAAGATAGTTGTCGTCCACTCATTAGATTTAGGTCTGTGGTGGCCTCGCAGGTTAGAGAAGGGCGCCGGGGTGTCTGGTCCGACCGTCCAGAACCTACATAGAATGTCATACGCACACACACACAAATAACAGACACGAGCAAATAACAGCTCCCATCAAGGCTGAAGAGAGTCTGA